GCGGCATCATGCCTCGTCATTCCATGCACATCGCGTAGAAGGCTGGGAAGAAGATCGGGTGAAAACATTACGTCGCTGTTTGTCACAAAAACAAAAGGCACTTCCTCGCGCGGCAGCGAGAGTGCAAGTCGTGACCCGATGTTCACGTCAGCGCTGTACCCGATGTTTTCCGGGTGACGACTCACAGCCAGGCGTCCGGACCACCCATAGACCCTCTCGAGTTCCTGCAGGCACAACGACAGCATCGCCTCCCGCCCGTTCTGCACCAAAACCAACAGCCGGATGGGCACACTGATGTTGCACATCATCCTCCGAAAGTCCATCAGATCGAGCATCAGCGGGACCACCATCAAAGGGATAACGTCCGTCCCGTTATTATTTCCCCCAGCTGCCGTGTCGTTGGATCCACCAGAAGCCTTTCCCCGACGCAGTGGATATAGTCCGCCCTGGTCGGACCAACACCAAACCATACGTGGGATCGTCACCAAGTAGGAACTCGAACCCAAAAAAAAAAACATCAACATGGACAACAAATTAAAATTAGAAGAAAGATAAAGCATCCTTTCCAAAAAAGGCTCGTGGCCTCGGTTTTTTAAACGCGTGCAACTCCGCGCATACCCCGTTGGAGGCAAAGCCAAGGGAGTATCTCCTTAAAGAAAGCAAAAGAAGTAAAAAAGAAAAAGAAGGTGCGCAGGAATGGCTCCGTGTCAATTTGAACAAAAAAAGATTCCTTCCAGCGCAATGGTCAAGCATGGATAACGTCCTTGGCCTTCCGTCCGCAAAAAAAGGCTCGAGTGCCCCAATAAAACCCTCCATGCGGGAAGGTCATTAGAGAAACCGCAAACCGCACCAGGTACAAAAACAAAAAATAATCAAATAAATGAATCGATGATGAAGCCCAGTGCCTCAGCGTTTCTTCTGCAACGCCACTCGTCAACACAAAATATTTAAAAAAGCAACAATACAAGAAGAGGGAAAGATCAAGCGGAAGCACAATTCCATCATCAAAAGCAATGTGTTTTTCCAAAGCTTTCCGCCAAACACAGCAAGAATTCTTAAACGACAAGAAAGAACAAATCCATCTTCTCATGGGTGATGAAGTCTCTCTCTCTCTCTCTCTGAGAAGGAAACAAGGAAACATGTTCTTTTTGTCACCCATTCACACTCACATTCACTACGCCGACAGTACATGTGGCCCCCATCTTGTGTCCTCGGCGCAGGAGGGACGTTTAGAGAGAGAAATGAAGGTGATACCATGAACGCAAAGACACCTAGTGTGCAACGGCCAGAAGCAGACAAAGTGCTCTGTTCTTGATGAACCGATGAGCAAGTTATCCACAATGCACCCAAGTACCATCCATCTATATATATATTCATATCATCCATCGTGAACAAAAAGTTAGCGTCGGTTAAATCGTCTGTAACTCGGCAACCAATATCCACACGGTAACGCACGCTGGTTCGCGGGAAAAACCTTCGGCTCTCATGTCCTCGATGTGCACATTTGGCACAAGCACACAGAAGCTTGTTTCGAATGGCAACGCACCTCTTGAGGAATCGTAGCAACGGAGGAAAAGCTCTCCATTTTGTCCCACTAACATATGCGCGTTCGGTTGCACCACCCTCCCGCGGTCCGCTGGTGCCTCACAAGATTCAGTGCCACAAAACAGCAACCTTTTGCCAATGTGTCGTGGTAAAGAATAGGTGCATGGAGAGCGCCACCATCCAATCACATAGTGATTTGCAGTTAATGGAAAACATCGCAATGCAGCAGAAGGCATGGCAAACAAACGCAAAATGCAACTAAACACAGAGCCCGAATCGCAATCAACTGTCTTTTGGTTTAAAAAGCAAACACTCCGAATATTACCCCGGCCTTTCTCCGCAACCACAAGTTCATCCTCCTGTTGATTTAATGGTCGGCTGCCTCATCACAGCGCCAAGTTCGAGCACCGAAGTACGCGGGTGGGACTCCGCAGAAGCCAGAAGCCCACCATTCCGCGGTGCGGCGCTCCGGGTCTCAAGCCTGCACTGCGCAGTGTTGTCGCCGCCGCTGTGGCGCCAATGCGTCGTAAGGCGGACCGCAGCGCCAGCGGTGTTCTTGCAGGGGAAAGCGCCTGACCCGGAGAAGGCGGCGGGAAACACATGCGAAAGTGGGCGTCGCGCGTGTCACGGCCAATTGCCCGGCATTTCGGGACTGGGGGAACCACAGCCAGTCACCTCCACACCACATGGGTGTGGGCGCGGGGCGGAAGACGTCACAAGCGGCGTCCGGGCCGGACGCGCCTTGCCGGAGCGAATTTGTGGCACCACGGGGCCGGAAGGAACGGGCCGCCGCACGGCGAGGAGCCCATCAATTTATTCGATAAAAGGGGAGGGGAAGTGGAGTAAGGGATCTTTTATTTTATGCATTCGGTCGATGCAGGAGTTTCATGTGCAGAATGATTTTCCTTGGTTTTGGGCTCTTTTTATTGCGTTGGTTTATGGGTGTTTTCTTGTTGTTGTTTTTTTGTTGTTTTTTTTTGTTGTTGTTGTTTTTGTTAGGAATGGAAGGGGGGAATTCTTCACCTGTCCTTTCTGGACTTTTTTGAGTAAAGACACGAAAGCTTTTTAATTGTGATAGGTATGGGAGGATTGAACGTTGTGCGAAACGTTTGGACTCCCGTATTATGTTTTTCACAATCTATGAAAGCCTTTGGCTATTTTCCCTATAATTACTAGTGCTTTTATATGTATTTGAGTGTGGACATTGTTTTTCTTAGTATTTGATGGAAAGGTCTCATATTTTTATCTAATTTTTTTATTATTATTCTATATACTTGCATATTGTCAAGCTAGATTGTTGATTTTTTTGAAGGTGACCGTTATTGCGGAAGTCACGAACGTGAGCTTTTGGAATAAAGAGTTTTTATTTATATTCATGAGCCCAGGACTTTTGTTCAACCGAAAATGCATCATTGGATATCCTTATCTCTTGTTGTTGTTTTTTCTTTGTGTGTGTGCGTTGTTCATACGAAAGAAAGGAAAAAATGAACTTTGTCGTCTAAGACCTTGTGAGTTATATATATATATATCGTTATAATGTTATTTTGTTTTCTTTTTCTTTCAAGCTGTCACTGAAATAGGCGTTCAATGGTATATGCTTATTAAATATAATTTTTTATTTGTCTTTTTGTGGTCTTTTTTTTTTCTCTTTTACTGCATTAGGTTTAGGAGCTTGTGAAAAGAATGATCGCGGGAGAGCTGGCTAGCTTAATGAATGTATGTTTATCCTGATAAACGAATGCATTATTTATGATACTTTCTACCGTATGAATCCTTTGGGAAGAATGCCACTTTGTAGGGGCAGGGAGCCGATAGAGGCCAGATAATTTTTATTTTGCCTTCCCACCCACCCACTCCCTTGATTCCCACCACGCGGCGGGGTCTTGTGGTTGGAGGACCCCAAAGTCTGCCACTTCGTAAGTAATAATATTCAAATCCTAACTGAGGACAAAGGGCCATGCTAATGGTCCACAGAATTCTATATATTGAATGAAAAGAAAACATTGAAGCAATTAACTAACGAACCTTTTTCCCTAACTTGTTTGGTTTCCATAGATAATTTCAGGATCCGGCCAGCTGCCCGGAAGATTATTACCTTTTCTCATTCGTCTTAATTATACTATTGGGTGTAAAGAATTGAAAGATTTTTGTTTTTGTTGTTGAGATGGTGCTAATTTAAAGGATTTTATAGTGGCATTTAACAATGTGCGGATAAACTTAGAAAGAAGTGTGTGAAAATCTGCTTTTACTCCAAGTCAGTTTCACGGGACTAACACATAAGTATTAACATTTTCTGTTTCTGGACGAAAATAAGGGAAAATAAACGTTTAATGTGTTTATGAATTTTTAAAGTCTTCATCAGTGTTACTATGCTGAGGAAAACCACAATTATAACTTTGGGTGATATGAATATTAGTTCGTAAGAAAAAAAGACTTGTTGAAGTTCTCATTGCTTGTGATGTGTCAAATGAAAAGAAAATAAATGGAATCACTTTTTGTGTGTGTGTGAGTAGGAGGGAAGTGGGGCATAATTTGATAAAGCCATTAATACAAACCTATAGCTGAGAAACAGAAACTATTTTTATCCTTAAAATACATCATATTCACTATGAGCTTTTTTTTTTTCCTGACACCACTCATGTTAGACAGAGAAATGGGTATAGTCGTTATATTGTTTCATATATTATTGTTTTATTGCTGTTTTTTCTCCTTTAATTTTATTTTTACTTTTTTATCTGCGGATTTGATTTAATTACCAAATGCTGATTTTTTTTTTTTTTTTCACGTACTCAACAAGGATCCCATGTTCGATTATTAAGGCTATTACGTCTTTTTGAGTGTACATTTTGTATGGCTACTTACGAAATTGTTTAGTGACGTCCTGTACGCTTCATACGCAAAAATACAAGAATGGACAAAGACCATAAAAACGGAATGGACGAATGTCGAGCCTTTAGTGGCAATTATGAGGAGACAATGGGCTCGGAGATGCAAATAGAGCGTGATATTGTTTCAAATGATCAAAATCAATTGGACATAAATCACACTTTGAAAGAAAAAAGTGTAATATTACCCGACATAGGAAACGAGCTTGAAAAAACAATAAAAGATATAGTAAACTCACCGTTGTACTCGAACGACTTTCTGTTACTTTCTTATCACATTAACAAAGAAATAAATGACCTTCAAACGCGCGTGAGAGTGGCCAAAGAAAGAGAAAAAGTGGCCCGAGAAAACTTTGAGAACACCCTGAAAAAAATCGGTCAGCAACACTTACGAAAATGAAGATGATTAATTATACAAATTAGCTAGTTGTGGTATTTACAAAAATCACCCCATGAAAGTCAAAATCAAGCCGAATATTGGCATAATCATACATCAATAATTTCTTTTCCAAACAACATTCTCCTCAATTAGATACAATTATAAAAATTAGAAAAACATACTCAAGGTTAATGATGCGACCTTATACAAGCATCAACGATGACGATCAACGCAATGCTGCATCCACAAAAAAACACGAAACAAACATTACATTCAGCGATACAGTAAACCCAAAAAAAGCCTCTTCAGATGATGAGAAACCGCCCGCGGAGTCTCCTTTCAAGAGCGTGTTTGGAGCGCCGTCTTCGACTGCTGCAAAGCCACCCGCAGAGTCTCCTTTCAAGAGCGTGTTTGGAGCGCCGTCCTCGACTGCTGCAAAGCCACCCGCAGAGTTAGCTTTGAAGGAGTTGGGAGGCACCTCCTGTGGCAAAAATGGAGTGTGGAAATGTTCCCGTTGTGGTAAGGCAAAGGATCTTTCTGGAAATCATTTAAAAAATAAGACTGAGGTACGCTCCGACTGTTGGCCCTGCGCGAGGAAGTCGACATTCATACTGGATAGGGAAAAATTGTCGGTATGTGGAAAACGGGATGTGGATGAAGATGATAACAGAAAGCCCGTGATCAATTTATCTTCAACGTCAGGGGTTGTGAAAGCCGTAGTGGCGTTTGAGCCTCCACGTATTCCGGTAGAAGCAGAGGAACATCTATTTCTTGTCCCTAATGTTGGGGACAAAAAGGAGGCAAAGGAATCCGAGAGCAGTTCCTCTTATATCTGGAGGTGTCGCGTTTGTGACAAGGCAAAGCCACTAGCCGGACAACACCTGAACGGAAAGACGGAAGTTAGAAGCGACTGTTGGCCATGTGCAGCAAAGCGTACCTTCTACCGAGCGGCAACTCAAAACACATTCACTGCGAAGCCACCCGCAGAGTCTCCTTTCAAGAGCGTGTTTGGAGCGCCGTCTTCGACTGCTGCAAAGTCACCCGCAGAGTTAGCTTTGAAGGAGTTGGGAGGCACCTCCTGTGGCAAAAATGGAGTGTGGAAATGTTCCCGTTGTGGTAAGGCAAAGGATCTTTCTGGAGATCATTTAAAAAATAAGACTGAGGTACGCTCCGACTGTTGGCCCTGCGCGAGGAAGTCGACATTCATACTGGATAGGGAAAAATTGTCGGTATGTGGAAAACGGGATGTGGATGAAGATGATAACAGAAAGCCCGTGATCAATTTATCTTCAACGTCAGGGGTTGTGAAAGCCGTAGTGGCGTTTGAGCCTCCACGTATTCCGGTAGAAGCAGAGGAACATCTATTTCTTGTCCCTAATGTTGGGGACAAAAAGGAGGCAAAGGAATCCGAGAGCAGTTCCTCTTATATCTGGAGGTGTCGCGTTTGTGACAAGGCAAAGCCACTAGCCGGACAACACCTGAACGGAAAGACGGAAGTTAGAAGCGACTGTTGGCCATGTGCAGCAAAGCGTACCTTCTACCGAGCGGCAACTCAAAACACATTCACTGCGAAGCCACCCGCAGAGTCTCCTTTCAAGAGCGTGTTTGGAGCGCCGTCTTCGACTGCTGCAAAGTCACCCGCGGAGACTCCTTTCAAGAGCGTGTTTGGAGCGCCGTCTTCGACTGCTGCAAAGCCACCCGCAGAGTCTCCTTTCAAGAACGTGTTTGGAGCGCCGTCTTCGACTGCTGCAAAGTCACCCGCGGAGACTCCTTTCAAGAGCGTGTTTGGAGCGCCGTCTTCGACTGCTGCAAAGCCACCCGCAGAGTCTCCTTTCAAGAACGTGTTTGGAGCGCCGTCTTCGACTGCTGCAAAGCCACCCGCGGAGACTCCTTTCAAGAGCGTGTTTGGAGCACCGCCCTCGACTGCTGCAAAGCCACCCGCAGAGTCTCCTTTCAAGAGCGTGTTTGGAGCGCCGTCTTCGACTGCTGCAAAGTCACCCGCGGAGACTCCTTTCAAGAGCGTGTTTGGAGCGCCGTCTTCGACTGCTGCAAAGTCACCCGCAGAGTCTCCTTTCAAGAGCGTGTTTGGAGCGCCGTCTTCGACTGCTGCAAAGCCACCCGCAGAGTCTCCTTTCAAGAGCGTGTTTGGAGCACCGTCCTTGACTGCTGCAAAGCCACCCGCAGAGTCTCCTTTCAAGAGCGTGTTTGGAGCGCCGTCTTCGACTGCTGCAAAGCCACCCGCAGAGTCTCCTTTCAAGAGCGTGTTTGGAGCGCCGTCCTCGACTGCTGCAAAGCCACCCGCAGAGTTAGCTTTGAAGGAGTTGGGAGGCACCTCCTGTGGCAAAAATGGAGTGTGGAAATGTTCCCGTTGTGGTAAGGCAAAGGATCTTTCTGGAGATCATTTAAAAAATAAGACTGAGGTACGCTCCGACTGTTGGCCCTGCGCGAGGAAGTCGACATTCATACTGGATAGGGAAAAATTGTCGGTATGTGGAAAACGGGATGTGGATGAAGATGATAACAGAAAGCCCGTGATCAATTTATCTTCAACGTCAGGGGTTGTGAAAGCCGTAGTGGCGTTTGAGCCTCCACGTATTCCGGTAGAAGCAGAGGAACATCTATTTCTTGTCCCTAATGTTGGGGACAAAAAGGAGGCAAAGGAATCCGAGAGCAGTTCCTCTTATATCTGGAGGTGTCGCGTTTGTGACAAGGCAAAGCCACTAGCCGGACAACACCTGAACGGAAAGACGGAAGTTAGAAGCGACTGTTGGCCATGTGCAGCAAAGCGTACCTTCTACCGAGCGGCAACTCAAAACACATTCACTGCGAAGCCACCCGCAGAGTCTCCTTTCAAGAGCGTGTTTGGAGCGCCGTCTTCGACTGATGCAAAGCCACCCGCAGAGTCTCCTTTCAAGAGCGTGTTTGGAGCACCGTCTTCGACTGATGCAAAGCCACCCGCAGAGTCTCCTTTCAAGAACGTGTTTGGAGCGCCGTCTTCGACTGATGCAAAGCCACCCGCAGAGTCTCCTTTCAAGAGCGTGTTTGGAGCGCCGTCTTCGACTGCTGCAAAGCCACCCGCAGAGTCTCCTTTCAAGAGCGTGTTTGGAGCACCGTCTTCGACTGATGCAAAGCCACCCGCAGAGTCTCCTTTCAAGAACGTGTTTGGAGCGCCGTCTTCGACTGCTGCAAAGCCACCCGCAGAGTCTCCTTTCAAGAGCGTGTTTGGAGCGCCGTCTTCGACTGCTGCAAAGTCACCCGCAGAGTCTCCTTTCAAGAACGTGTTTGGAGCACCGTCTTCGACTGATGCAAAGCCACCCGCAGAGTCTCCTTTCAAGAACGTGTTTGGAGCGCCGTCTTCGACTGCTGCAAAGCCACCCGCAGAGTCTCCTTTCAAGAACGTGTTTGGAGCGCCGTCTTCGACTGATGCAAAGCCACCCGCAGAGTCTCCTTTCAAGAGCGTGTTTGGAGCGCCGTCTTCGACTGCTGCAAAGCCACCCGCAGAGTCTCCTTTCAAGAGCGTGTTTGGAGCACCGTCTTCGACTGATGCAAAGCCACCCGCAGAGTCTCCTTTCAAGAACGTGTTTGGAGCGCCGTCTTCGACTGCTGCAAAGCCACCCGCAGAGTCTCCTTTCAAGAGCGTGTTTGGAGCGCCGTCTTCGACTGATGCAAAGCCACCCGCAGAGTCTCCTTTCAAGAGCGTGTTTGGAGCACCGTCTTCGACTGATGCAAAGCCACCCGCAGAGTCTCCTTTCAAGAACGTGTTTGGAGCGCCGTCTTCGACTGCTGCAAAGCCACCCGCAGAGTCTCCTTTCAAGAACGTGTTTGGAGCGCCGTCTTCGACTGATGCAAAGCCACCCGCAGAGTCTCCTTTCAAGAGCGTGTTTGGAGCGCCGTCTTCGACTGCTGCAAAGCCACCCGCAGAGTCTCCTTTCAAGAACGTGTTTGGAGCGCCGTCTTCGACTGCTGCAAAGCCACCCGCAGAGTCTCCTTTCAAGAGCGTGTTTGGAGCGCCGTCTTCGACTGCTGCAAAGCCACCCGCAGAGTCTCCTTTCAAGAGCGTGTTTGGAGCGCCGTCTTCGACTGCTGCAAAGCCACCCGCAGAGTCTCCTTTCAAGAACGTGTTTGGAGCGCCGTCTTCGACTGATGCAAAGCCACCCGCAGAGTCTCCTTTCAAGAGCGTGTTTGGAGCGCCGTCTTCGACTGCTGCAAAGCCACCCGCAGAGTCTCCTTTCAAGAACGCGTTTGGAGCACCGTCTTCGAATGTTGCGAGGGTTTCGGAAGATTCTTCATTAAGTGTTGTTTCTCATTTGATGCCATTTGGTGTCGGTGATGGCGGGGCTGTCGCTGTGATACCTTCAGGCAGTTCATTTGCAGGGCGCTCTGAAGTTAATTCGGATGCAAGTGCTTTTGTTGACCCTATGATTCCTTCTGACGACGATGTTAATGGGTGTAATAGTTTGGTTTATAAAGAAGCTGTGGGAGAAATGAATTCCGGTTTTAAGTTTCCACTTATTTCTCCCCGCGGTGGTGATAAGCAAAATGTTATAAAGCGTTTGAAGGAGGGTGTTGAGAAAACATCTTTTGATGGAGTGAGAAATGAGCCTTTAGTTGTGGGCGATGCCTGCGTTACGTTGAAAAATTTTGAACAAATGTTGGTGGCGTTTCGAAGCGACCTTGTTGGTGTCATTAGAAGTGAGATTGAGGGAATTGTTTTTGCTCCTCAAAATACAGAGGGAGACAATCACGCTGCATTGCCAAAAACCACTAGAGATGAAATGACTTCTTCAGGTAAAAAGGGAGGTGAGGTTGTGGGGTTCTCTCAAGCGTTGCGGGCGCATCTTTCTAATGCGTTTCGCAAGTATTATTGACCCTTTGGTTGTGAGTTTGATAAGTGGATATGGTGGGTAAACGCCCGCCACCCTTTCCCTATATATATTTAATATATTTTTAATATATGTTTCATGGGAGAGTTTAAAGATGATTTTTTGTTTGTTTGTTTTTCTAGGATGTGTGAGAGGAACGAGAGTGTATGTACGGCATTGAATTGCATTTTATTTTTAATGATAATCTTGTTACTTTTTCACTTTTCCGTGCGCTAGTTTTAGATATGTAATAGTGAAACAAAAATGTATCTTTATTAATAAATATATATATATATATATATGGGTTTAGTTTTGTGCTTCGAGCCTGAGTGGGATTAAATTATTGCCTTTTTTTTTCGCATATTTGGTGCATTGACGGTGAGGGGAGGCACAAGCGATTACGTCTTTACTTTTTCTTCAATTATATTACTGGTGGGCGCGTTGCAAAGATTTTGGGGCTTTTTTGATTTTTCCCTGCATGTCTTTGTGCGACACGTTTATATCAGCTTTCTGCCCCCCGCTGGAGGGAATTTGTGGCATACTCGTTTACAGGCGAATTGGAAATGTTTATGGTGGGGGCATTGACAGACACAGCATGTTACCAGCTCTCAAGCTGGGTCCGCGGTGCTGACATGGGGATGTTTTTACTGGGCAGTTCGTTGCTTCTTGGCTGGTCCGGGGATCCAAAAGCAGAACAAGTTTATTCCAATCGTGCGACACGTTAAATATTAATTTCTGGTCATTGGCTTGTTTTATGGGATTCGGTTTTTGCCAGGGAAAAAAAAAAAAAATTGAGTTTTTTTGATCCCCACCGTGGCTCAACGAAGTGCTGTTTTTTTTTTTTTCTTCTTCTCTTACCAGTCGTAGTAATTACACCTCAATTGTGCAGCTCTGGTAAGCGTACGAAGGAATTCAGCAGCAAGGATAACCTTACTCCGCGGGCAGCCACTATAGAATGGCTCCAACACCTGCCCTTCCGGCCCGTAAAACTAAGTAACAACTACTCATCGGGTTTGAAGCATGAACAGCAGGCGCTTAGATTCCTCTCTAGCAAGGAGTGCTAGACCCTGGCACCACGTTGAGGTGGCCGGCTGAGCCAGGGACGAAGTGCTGTCATGTAAGGTCTGCTCATCTCTGCGCAGATGTTTTTTTTGTTTTTTGTTTTTTGTTGTGTGTGATTGTAGATTCCAAAAGAACAATTTTGGGGAAGAAAGGCTGCAGAGGTCAAGTGTTTCTAGGCTTCCATGATGCAACAATAAACAAAAGAAACACTGCCTATTTGTAAGTTGTACTGCCGTCTTATGATGCTGGTTTGCCGATATGCGCCATGGGCACAATTGAGGTCGTTGAATTGTAATGTTTGCTTGGGGCATAATTTCTACCTTTTTTTTCTGCTTTTTTTTTTTTTGTTTGTTTGTTTGTATTGAGCATAGAATTATATATTTTTTATTTTTGTTTTTCTGTTGTTGATAGTTGCGGGGTCCCGTGATTTTAATAAATATGGCCTTGCGTCCCACTAAACTAGATGCGGTCTGTGAAGAGGTTCATGGTGAATTTGCATCGTGTGGAATTGCAAGTTTACAGGAGCTCTGCCAGCAGGTGAGGCTGCTGCGCGCCAATGTAGAACGCCTTGCATCCGAACAAATACCGTCGCTCAGTCTGGACATAACAGCGCTTCAGGAGCCTCACCTGCACCTGCCGTTGCATACTAACTTTCATATGGGCATGCAGGAGAAGAAACCGACACCAGGAAGTGTCATCTTTGGTGCTGAGTCGCTCCTTTCACACTGCAAAAGGCTCACTGCAGACTGCACACGTGGGTCGCACAGGCTGCCCGAGAAGGAACGCCCCACACAAATGATGTACGCGGTGGGGTATACCCCTCATTATCCCAACAGGAAAATGCCTTCGTACAATTCAACCAAATACACTGAAAGAAAAAAGATAGAAGAAAAAAAAGATACAACATCGTACACTCCCAGCAACCCCTCCCACCCCAACGCCCAAAAAAGCTTTAATCATTGTACGGACCAATTGAAGATAAACCAACAAATTAACCCTCATATCGCAAATAACAAACAAAAAACAACACTTGAAAAAACTCAAACAGAACAAAAAACAGAGCCATTTGGACAGGCCGCTGCAGATGACAAACCATCACCATTTGGACAGGCCGCAGCAGGTGACAAACCACCACCGTTTGGACAGGCCGCTGCAGATGACAAACCATCACCATTTGGACAGGCCGCAGCAGGTGACAAACCACCACCGTTTGGACAGGCCGCTGCAGGTGACAAACCACCACCGTTTGGACAGGCCGCTGCAGGTGACAAACCATCACCGTTTGGACAGGCCGCTGCAGGTGACAAACCATCACCGTTTGGACAGGCCGCTGCAGGTGACAAACCATCACCGTTTGGACAGGCCGCTGCAGGTGACAAACCATCACCATTTGGACAGGCCGCAGCAGGTGACAAACCATCACCGTTTGGACAGGCCGCAGCAGGTGACAAACCATCACCATTTGGACAGATCGCTGCAGGTGACAAACCATCACCGTTTGGACAGGTCGCTGCAGGTGACAAACCATCACCGTTTGGACAGGCCGCTGCAGGTGACAAACCACCACCGTTTGGACAGGCCGCTGCAGATGACAAACCATCACCGTTTGGACAGGCCGCTGCAGGTGACAAACCATCACCATTTGGACAGATCGCTGCAGGTGACAGACCACCACTATTTGTACCGATCGCTGCAGGTGACAAACAACCACCATTTGGACAGGCCGCTGCAGGTGACAAACAACCACCATTTGGACAGGCCGCTGCAGGTGACAAACAACCACCATTTGGACAGGCCGCTGCAGATGACAAACCATCACCGTTTGGACAGGCCGCTGCAGGTGACAAACCATCACCATTTGGACAGATCGCTGCAGGTGACAGACCACCACCATTTGGACAGGCCGCAGCAGGTGACAAACAACCACCATTTGGACAGGCCGCTGCAGGTGACAAACAACCACCATTTGGACAGGCCGCTGCAGGTGACAAACAACCACCATTTGGACAGATCGCTGCAGGTGACAGACCACCACTATTTGTACCGATCGCTGCAGGTGACAAACCATCACCATTTGGACAGATCGCTGCAGGTGACAAACCATCGCTATTTGGACAGGCCGCAGCAGGTGACAAACCATCACCATTTGGACAGGTCGCTGCAGGTGACAAACAACCACCATTTGGACAGGCCGCTGCAGGTGACAAACAACCACCATTTGGACAGGCCGCTGCAGGTGACAAACAACCACCATTTGGACAGGCCGCTGCAGGTGACAAACAACCACCATTTGGACAGGCCGCTGCAGGTGACAAACAACCACCATTTGGACAGGCCGCTGCAGGTGACAAACAACCACCATTTGGACAGGCCGCTGCAGGTGACAAACCATCACCATTTGGGCAGATCGCTGCAGGTGACAGACCACCACTATTTGTACCGATCGCTGCAGGTGACAAACAACCACCATTTGGACAGGCCGCTGCAGGTGACAAACAACCACCATTTGGACAGGCCGCTACAGGTGACAAACCATCACCGTTTGGACAGGCCGCTGCAGGTGACAAACCATCACCATTTGGACAGGCCGCTGCAGGTGACAAACCATCACCGTTTGGACAGGCCGCTGCAGGTGACAAACCATCACCGTTTGGACAGGCCGCTGCAGGTGACAAACAACCACCATTTGGACAGGCCGCTGCAGGTGACAAAAAACCACCGTTTGGACAGGCCGCTGCAGGTGACAAACCATCACCGTTTGGACAGATCGCTGCAGGTGACAAACCATCACCGTTTGGACAGGCCGCTGCAGGTGACAAACCATCACCGTTTGGACAGATCGCTGCAGGTGACAAACCATCACCGTTTGGACAGGCCGCTGCAGGTGACAAACAACCACCATTTGGACAGGCCGCTGCAGGTGACAAACCATCACCGTTTGGACAGGCCGCTGCAGGTGACAAACCACCACCATTTGGACAGGCCGCAGCAGGTGACAAACCATCACCGTTTGGACAGGCCGCTGCAGGTGACAAACCATCACCGTTTGGACAGGCCGCTGCAGGTGACAAACCACCACCATTTGGACAGGCCGCAGCAGGTGACAAACCATCACCGTTTGGACAGGCCGCAGCAGGTGACAAACCATCACCATTTGGACAGATCGCTGCAGGTGACAAACCATCACCGTTTGGACAGGCCGCTGCAGGTGACAAACAACCACCATTTGGACAGGCCGCTGCAGGTGACAAACAACCACCATTTGGACAGGCCGCTGCAGGTGACAAACCATCACCATTTGGACAGGCCGCTGCAGGTGACAAACCATCACCGTTTGGACAGGCCGCAGCAGGTGACAAACCATCACCATTTGGACAGATCGCTGCAGGTGACAAACCATCACCGTTTGGACAGGTCGCAGCAGGTGACAAACCATCGCTATTTGGACAGGCCGCTGCAGGTGACAAACCATCACCATTTGGACAGGTCGCAGCAGGTGACAAACCATCGCTATTTGGACAGGTCGCTGCAGGTGACAAACCATCACCGTTTGGACAGGCCGCAGCAGGTGACAAACCATCACCGTTTGGACAGGTCGCTGCAGGTGACAAACCATCACCATTTGGACAGGTCGCAGCAGGTGACAAACCATCGCTATTTGGACAGGGAACAGGGTTTGATGCGTCTCGAAACACTATGTTTGCGAATGCGCCTGGTGTTTTCCAGGTGTCGTTTGGAAAGCCATCGACGACTTTTGCAACCACATCCTTTGCTGCTGGTGGCGGGTTTGGAGCACCAAGTGCTTTTGGTTCTATTTTACAGAATGTTCATGCTACATTGCCTGCTGGAAGCGCGTTGTCTCATATTGGAAGTGCCTTTGGTTCTCCTGGAACGTATTCTGGCGGTGCGTTTGGTGGAGCAGGTGTAAGTGGTCCGGCAATTGGTGGTGGTAAGCTATCTGCATTGGAGGGAAGTGGGTTTGGTCAGGCTTTCAGTGCTTTTGGTAATCATGCATCAACTGTGTTAGGAAGTTTTGGTCGGAAAGAAGGTGAGGGCACCTTTGGTGCTGTGGGAGCCCATGGGACGGGTTCCGCCACCCCGTTTTCAAAGACCAGTACCACATTTCAATCTTCTTCTTTTTCCAGTATTGCGGGGAACTACAAGGCTGCTCCGCAATTTAAGAGTGTTTTTGGTCCTCATTGATATGCGGGTTTTTTTTTTGAATCTGAATTTTTGCTTGTGAATGATAATCAATTAATTTTAAGTTCTTTTGGGGATGTTTGTGCAACCTTGCTTGCTGAAAGCCATTTTTTTTTTTTTTTTTTTTTTTTTTTTTTTGGCTCAAGGAATAACATTTGGGCATGTCGGATGAATTGGGTGAACTGGAATTAAGGGAACTTGAAGAGGGGGATGTACCGAGTCTTTTAGATCTTCTCAGGCACCTGACTGATGCACCGGCTGTGACTACATCTGCGCTGCGGGCAATTGCCGAGGCACGTCGTCAAGCCGGCATGGTAACAAGGGTTTTTATTCACAGACCAACAAGGCGCGTCGTAGGGACTGCATCTCTGTTTGTTGAACCCAAATTTTCGCGCGGTGGAAAATCTGTGGGACACATTGAAGATGTCGTTGTTGATCCCTCATATCGAGGCAAAAAGCTTGGGCAGGCTCTCATTGGTGACCTTTGCAATATTGCCCGTTCACGGGGCTGCTATAAAGTTATTCTTGATTGTGCAGAGGCAGCGATAGAGTTTTATAAAAAGTTGGGGTTTGAGGCTCGTGAAAGACAGATGAGGCTTGACCTGTAGGGTTATTATTTTTAGTTTATGTGTTCTATTTACATTTTTGATTGGAGTGAATATTGGTTTTGGCTTATATATGGATGCACTTTTGTGTTATTCTTGTCACTTAGTATATTTGGCTGAGAATAAACGCTTCAATTTTTTTCTTTTAAAGAATAGCAACCATGCAGCAGCAAGGATATATTATTGATGGCCAATACCGTGTAATCAAGCTTCTGGGAAGTGGGGCCTTTGGGGATGCGTTCCTGGTGGAACACATCAGGCTTAAGTCTTTATTTGTCCTCAAGTGCTCAAAGTCGGCGAAAAGTAACGATCTTGTCCTTGTAGAGGCAAAAAACATGCTGTTGACTACGAGCGACCATGTCGTTCGATGCCATAGAGCATGGATTGAACCATTGGATAATCGATGCTACATGCTGCTAGAGTACTGTGACGGAGGGGACCTGGAGGATTACCTTGGCCTCGCCTTTCCTTTTTCGGAGCCTCAACTGATTTCGATGTTTGCACAGTTGTTGCTGGGGCTTGACCATGTTCATCTGAAGCACCTCATTCACCGGGACATTAAGCTACAAAATCTCTTGTTGCAGCGTTCCACTGGTATTGTAAAGATTGGTGATTTTGGCCTAAGTAAAGCCCTTCAATTTACAGATGAAGTCTCTGTTACAAGTTTGGGAACACCACTGTACTTCTCTCCAGAGGTCGTGTCTGGTTTGGAGTATACCAGGAAGACAGATGTTTGGAGCATGGGCGTGGCTTTCTATCGACTGATGACAAATGAGCTTCCATTTCCAGCAACCAGTGTGGAAGAAGTCTGTGAATATCTTGGAAAGATACGAGCAGTGCATCCATGTCGACTGAGGGAAGGCTGTTACTCTGAGGAACTTGGAGATTTGGTAATGAAGATGCTAACTAAGAGTCGTACCAAACGGCCCACAGCAAGGGAACTACTTGCACTTCCCATTTTTGCTCCAGTGCTTTGCTCATGGCCATGGCAACCCCCTCGTCTTAAGGGAACAAGTTGTCTCTTTGTCTGTCGGCCGCATTCCAGTGTTAACGTTCGGTCTCAACCATCGTTGAAGGCTGAACGAATTGGAGAATTTGCATATGGCGATCATATATTTGTGAGCTGTGAGCATCTGAAGAATGAGGAGTCGACGTGGTACCGCGTTCTATATCCACTGGAGGGATATTGCATCACAGCTACAAATAATGGCAAACAACTTTTTCAGAGGGTTGATGATCCCACCAGGTGCTCTCCGATCTCTTGATGAAATACATATATATTCCGTCTAACGCCTCATTTCTGTGAAGGTCGGGGTTGGGAGACGTGGCGTCGTTTTTTTCTTTTTTTTTTTTCTACTCATTTTGTTTTTCTCTCCCCTCTCTATTATTATTATTATTATTATTATTTGACTTGCAGGTATTATTTTCTGTTGTTATTTTTTGCCGATTCTTTTGGGCACCACTGGGAGGAGTCTTCTCTTTTTTTGTGCGCGGAGCGATAAGAGGGAGATGGTGCAAATAAAAAGGTTTATTTGGGGATTATATGTGTATAAATAACTGTTTCTCATTATTATTATTATTATTCTCAATGGGCAGCGGTTTGTGTTAAGGATGCTCTTTTGGCCTGAAGAGTGGTCGTGCAAACTTTTTTTCTTTTTTTTTCTGTGCGATGCTGTTTTTTGATTTTTTCCAGCCACTCCGTGGCTTTCCGCAACATTTGTTCTGAGGGATGTGCCGTCGGTGGTTTGGCCTTGCGCTGTTCCCGAGGGGACTTCGGCGCTTGTCAGGGTTTGGTAGTGTTCTCGGAACGGGAACCGTGCCGCATGAACTCATGAGGACGCTTCAGGAGGAGCTGAAGGAGGAGGAGCGTCGAAGGCAGGGAGGCATTGGGGAGGCGCTGCGAAATTGCATTGGGCAAAGTGAATTGGACCACCTCGAGAGCCCGGAAGCCGACGCCGCACAACGCCGAAAGCTCGATTTGATGGCGGAAAGCCTCTTTAGCAGGCTGCCATTGCCAGAGGACCCTATGAAGGCTGCCTTAGCCCCCACGGAGGAGGAGCTGAAGAAAAGAGAGGAGTGCGAGGTGCTCAAGGAGGCAGTGCGGGAACAGTACATGCGTCAGAAGGCGTCCAACGCCGCGGAAGAGGCCAGGCTTTCCAGAGCAATGAAACGCTACGAAGTGGTGGCTGAAAGAGGAGCGAATTCCGACATCCCAGAACATATGAAAACTCCTGGTGAAATGAACGAGCTTCGCCAGGAGATTGACAACCTGAAACACCAACTCGCGAAGCTTGAAAAACTCTTGGACTCCAAGGTCCGCGGTCAATGCACATAATTTCCCTTCTTAGTGGTGGTGCTGTTTCCTTTCCCTCTGTGTTCTCCGGGGGGTTGCAATGTATTGTTATTATTTGCATACTTCCCCAGCTTCTAATGAGAATGATGTTTGTCATTCGGTATCTGCCAAATCCAATTTCATTTTTCCCTCCTTTTCTTCACTTGTTGGTTTTATTGTTTTCTTTCTTTGGAAACGTCAGATGCCATTATTTCATAGGCTCTTTGTGAGCGGGGCGGACCTGCGGGGCTGCCACACGGCTTTTTCTAGCAACTTCACACAACGCAGGTATTGGGCGAAGCCAAAGAAGCGTCCGAAAGTTGGTCAGGGGTTTCATGAAAAGGCGCAAAAATGGCGTGATGAGTTTCTTCTTGACAGGCACCGCATCCTTGCCGACAGTCTCCGGGCGTACGTGGAATTTAGTGCCTCGAAGCGCACAGAACCTTGGGACACGCGTTTTAGACCTTTTGACCGTGTGGAGAAGGACGGCGTTTACGTACTCATGCGGCACCTAATGGAAGACAAGTTTCAATTGTGCAACTACCACCACCGCCCCGTGAAGCGATTGTTTTGCAACGTTGGGCTCTTGGGGCCGCAAGTAACAACAAAGGCGCGTTGGAAACCTTATCGCTATGCAACAAATCCTGCGAATACTTCAAAGGCGGAGAGGATTTTTCAGAAGGACAAGACTCTCTATACGCACGGCCACAATGATTAGACTGCAGGTCTGCCAAAATGTAGGATTTATATGGATGCTGCCAAAAGAGAGAGAGAGAGAGTTTTGTGTGTGTGTGTGTGTGTCTGCGCGTATGAATGGCCATAGGCCTCCCTACAAAAAATGCGGCTTCTCATGACGAGACGTGAGAAGCTGCGAGGTGGATGTTCAACTTATTGCACTGACGGCACTTTTTTTTTCTTCTCATGCTATCTTGTTTACTTTGTTCTTTTCTTCAGTTTCTCTCTTTTTTTTTTTTTTCTTCTCCCCTTTGTGTGCAGTCAGATGGGTGGTCCAGCCAGAAAGAAGCCGCGGATGGAGGAGGTTCCACCTCCAAAGGCACAGGGCCGCAGTGATGATGAGAAGGGAGCGACCAGCAGCATTTTAGATGATTCTTTGTGTGCCATGGAGGAAAAGGGGGCTGCGGGTGAAGAGGCCGTTGCGTGCCCCTTCACCGAGTCGTGTGCGTCCGACGAGGAAAATGAGCTCTTGGCAGAGGGCGAAAAACTGAGCGGAGCCGCGTTGAAAAGGTTTCTGCAGCGCAACTTTATTGACTATATAGATCAGAGGAAACCATTCTTTGCTGAGTTGGAGGAAAAAAACACGCGGGAACATTCCTACGGAGAGAAATAAACAAAATCAAGGGAGGGGGAAGAAAAAAAGAGGGCTCTACCCCCTCCCACAGAAATACACACACAATAGGTACTCACACTGATGTTCTCTACCTTGCCACACGAAGCTCACTTATAATATTAAAGTTTATGTGTTCGGCTCTGCATGTTTTTAAACAGTGGAACTTATCAGCCGTTCTTTTGTCTCTTTTTGATGTTTACTTGACGTTGATGGTTTGGATCAAAACTGAACGTAACGGCAATTTCTCCCATGCAGCAGAGCACTTAAGGGCAGCGCTGGGAACAAGAATCACACCTGTTTTTGTGTACCTTTTTTTTTTCTCGGAGAAGTTTTTTTTTGTGTGGATCACCGTTTGGCTGTGGCTCATGATCCCCGTGGGGTTTGCCGGGGGGCGGTGAGGGGCGGCGATTGGGGAGGTTGTTCCAGAAATGTGGCAGTGCAGACTGTGCCGGTGACGCTGTCGTTTTTCTTTTTTTTTTTTTTATTGAATCGTCAAATGGGGTTGAACTCCGAAGGAATGTACTCTTTTTTATTGCCGCGTCATATATATGAGGCACACACGGCTTGTCTGCGCCCGGGGTGCGGCATGAATTACTCGAATGGTGCATTACGCTTCCTTTTGCTGTTGCGTTTTCGACTAAACATCCGCATGACATTGGCTGTCATAGCCGTTATTATTATTATTATTATTATTATTGGCTGCTGCTGTTGTTGTTATTTGGATAAATCTAATGTAATCACCCCACGTACACATAAAATTGAAAAAAGAAAAAAAAAAGAACAAGAGGAAGAGGAAGAGGGAGAAAAGCAAGCATGTCTTTGTCGCTCGCAGTAAAACCTGCTGGAAGCGCTAATGGAGGAGATTCATGGTTTCTGTCTGGCCACAACAATGATGTGTTAGGTATTGCCACTGACGGCAGCGGTGTTTTTGCCACGTGCGATGTGGAGGGTGTAGGGCTGTTTTGGAGGCATGATGTTTCTCTCCATGATGGCGGTCCAACCCATGTCAGTAGAATCGCCACAGATGGCCCTGCGATTGTGGATGCCTGCTTTTTCCGCCTTACACGTCTTTGCACGGCTCAGGGCGATGGTACTGTTGGCGTATGGAATGTTGAGACGGGGCAGCGAGAGCATTCATTCTGTCGGCTCTCTGGTCGTGGGAAACCCATGAATTGGACGGTTTTAAATGCAGTGACGGTGGCGAATGATACTTCCATTGTTTTTGGTGGGGATGACGGCTTTTTGGTGTTGGGCGATTTCAAACAGAAGAAAAATGGCGCAACAATTAATCTACGCGTGCCAATTACTTCAATTGCGGCTTCGGGTGACTCAATTTTTGTTGGTGACGTCCTTGGGAATATTCGCTGTTTTGATGCCCGTACGATGAGAAGCCTCTACAGCCTCAAGGGGCACAGTGACGTTGTGAATTGCGTGGCCCTCAACGTGGGTGCCACCAGCATGGTGTCCTACGGCATGGACAACTCGCTTGTTTTGTGGGATGTCATGCCATTTGCAATCAATACGAGTGATCGTCTGCTTCATCGCATCGAGGTGCAGCAGGGTGAGTCGCGCACTCTTTTGCGCTGTGGGTGGTCCCGGAATGACACCATTGTGGTGCCCGCCGGGGATGGGCACGTTGTGTGCGTAAGTGCGTTGAAATTTGAAGGGGCCCGAGCGACACTTCCCGTTCGCCATCGCGAGGACTCCGTAAAATCTGCCGTGTTTGTTGGCGATGATCTCGCCGTTAGTTCTGCTGGAACCGAAGTTATCCTGCAAAGGGCCTAGAGGCAAAAAAAAAAAGGAAAAAAAAGGTTGATGGGCAGAGAAGAAACTGTTCTTTCAATCCATTTGAGGGCCCCGCACATATCCCAGCAAGCAAAAGTAAAATAAAAGTTTATTGTTGTTGTTACTCCTTCAACTTCATTCTTTTTTTTTCCCCCCTATTTGCTTTTTGTTGTTGTTGTTGTTTTTTACCCCGCCGTTTTTACATCCATGCACACTTGCAAATACAGAAGTATGTATGATCAAATACGATATTTAGTCGTGTTTTTTTTTTCTCTCAGAACTTCTGCTTTTAACTTGTGGTGAGAGGTTATGGGAAGAAGACCCCGAGCCCCAAAGCACCTTCTTAGCGCAGAGGATGCCCCACTGGGAACCTTTGCTGTAATTGATCCTTTTAGCAGAATGCTCTTTGTTCCACAGGCTTCCATGTGTGATACGCACGCAATGCACAGGCCAGGGGTGCCGTCCCTGTGTCGGCTTCACATGGAGGGCCGCTGCCGTCAAGGAATGTCTTGTTACCAGGCGCATGCTGACGTCACTGTCGTCAATCAGCTCCGCATGGCTGCGCTACGGGAACCGACGTGTTGTGCAACTCATGGCGCGAGAAGTGACGCTGAAGGTATCGCAACTAATTTGGCAATTATTGTAGTTGGGAACGACGACCCTGAGGAATTCCAGAGAACAACGTTAGCGCACATAGCTGTGACTAAAGGATTTAGAATCCTCCTTCAAAAGCAGGCTGCTGAGGGCGGAGTGGCTGAGCCAAACGCTGTTACGGTGACAGTGGACTCGCTCTGTCGTCTACATTACTCGGGCCCCTGTTGTCGTTTTGGCCATGAGTGTAATTATGTTCATTTGTGTCGCGAGCTTGTCGCAGAAATACACAAGCGAAGAAATGAGAAATCCGAGCCCCATAATCGAGATGAGGTACCGCAGCCAACACAACCGTCCCCCACTGGAGCCCTCACCACCTGCTACTCACCCCCGCGTTCGAATACCAAACTTTTAACACTGGGGCCGGAAGCGGATTGTTCTATAGGTGTCAGTCCAGTTCAATTCTTTTCATGTAGCGGCAATTTTTTAACTCGGCCGATGGCAGCTGGAACGGTGTCACTATCGGGTTCCCCCAAACTAGGCACTTCCCCAGTATTGTCCCGCTCCTACAATTCGACATCTTTTGGCATTGTATGGCGGCACAATCCGTATGGAGGGGGTTCATCTGCTTCTTCTGTGGTTGAGACGTGAAGTTTGCTCTTTTTGCATGCTGTAGTTAGGGAACATACGTCATATATCTATCTATATCCCCATCTATCTATCTATTTATTTAACTATATCTACATTTATATTTATTTAACTATAAGGTATTCATTTTTGGCTTGTTTCAGTAGTCAGTGAATTGTACTTATAAATTTGAGGGATAAGGAGGTGCGAAAAATAAATTCTTGTCATCTGGACGAGAGACTGCTATTTTTTTGTTTTTGTTTTTGTTTTTTTGTTTTTACTTGAAGTTGTCGCTGCTCTATGCAGCCTGTCATGCAAAGTGTCTTTTGGTATTTCTCTTTATTCTCTAATGATACTTCTCTTTTTCTTCTTGCCTTTATTTCCTATTGTTGTCGTTGTTGTCGTTTTTATGGTTATTATTTTTATGTCTTTTTGTCTCTACAAAAGAGGGGAACTCCGCATGGCTTCCTTGGACTCATCTTTCAGGCTGGGCTGCTCGGACCCTGAAGCAACGCCCTCGTCACCACTGCGGCTTATAGGAGGACAACAGCGGGGCAGCGTGGAGCCCCCAATGCTTTTTCTGCAGCTCAGGCATCTGAAAGCACATGCAGCCGTACGTGTCATTGAAACCGGGAACTACAATGATCAAGAACTTTCCTCGCCGTATTCTTCACCGAAGAAGCCTCAGAAATTTTCCTTAGGACGGTCGTTCCGCTCCGTAACCTCTTGTCTAGTCTCCAAAGTGGTGATTCCATCTCCAGAGGAACGGTACGTCGCTATAGAGCAAACATCAGAGCACACGGCGGCGTTTGTGGTGCGGTACCCGCAGAGGCGAGCACGTGCTGGGGGAGCGGCTGAAGAAATTGGTGATGTCATACTGAGCTATCCGCTCACAAAGTTGGTGGATGTCTCTACCTTTTTTCTCCATGAAAAGGGTTTTTTTACCTTTAATACGCAGCCGGGGGCATTTGATTCTTCTCATGCCGCAGAGAATACTGTGAGGACGAAAAAAAAAGGGTCGAACGGTGCGATCTTGTCATCGTCGTCGTCGTCTTCGTCATTCAGCCCAAATGGGGATGTTGGCTTGCAGCTGGTTTTCAAGGAACCGCACGTTTCTTCTCCACCGGCGAAGGATAATTTCCAAAGGGTCGAAATGCAATTTGCGTCGTCAAGAGAACGTGATGTGTGGCTGCACTGCCTCGAGGAGTTTTACGCTTCATTTCTGCTGGATTCCGTTCGAACAGGCAGCGAGGTCTCTCTCACCGCTCCAGAGGTGAGGGGGCTCATAGAAGAAAGCACGCGACTGATGCAGCAGAAGCCAGCACCTGCTGTAATTGAGCGCTATATCGATTTTTTTCTTTTTTCTTCGTGTCCTGAGGAAGCTGATGGAAAGCAAGAGGTGAGGAACATCAACCCCAAGGACGTTCCATGTGGGGGCATTATTCGCATTGACCTCGGGGATAATCAATTTGAGACCCGACGATTTGCTTACAAGAAAATCACAAATCGTTCACATTTGAGCAATGGGAATTTGGAGGAGGGGGAGGAGGAGTACCTCGTCATTTGCCCAACCACCGTCTCGCAGCGCGTACGAAGAATCCGCAAGCAAAAGGTGCCGACTAGGAAGCTGCGGGTCGTGGTGGAGGAAGAAGACTTTGGTAACACGTTTTTTCTTGAGCAGACGACAGAAGCCACGGAGGCACACAGGGACTCTATCTTGAGTGTCTGCCAGAGCAAGTCCTGTAAATTCCATTCGGGAGTTGTGGTGTCAGCGCCACGTGGCAACAGTGACTTTGCCATCACTGAAACAATTGAACTTCATACCAGTGGATTTTCGGAACGTAATCGATGGCTTAGATGGTTTGAATTGGTGCTTGGGAAACCCGTCATATATCTTTCTCGTCTCCGCGAGGAGAAAAAGACACTGGAGATGATCCTCAACCCACGCCAGAGGGCCTCATCGCTCTGTCTGGAGTATTCTTCCCCGCCTTTTACTGATGACGGCTGACGGGAGCTCCTTGTTGTATTATCCGGGAGCGAGTGGGTGTGTAGTATACTTCTGCCTCGTGTGGCAGCGAAATGTTTTGACGAGATGGAAGAGAGGGGGAGCGTTTTTTTTTTTTGTTTTCTTTTTTGTAGCACTTGGGAACGACGGCGTTAACGGCGCTTGAAAAGGACCCCTACACGCATACACACACGCAAAAACGCAAAAACAAAGAGGAGGCAATTATTTATGGTTTGCAACGAACAATTTTTTGTTTTTTCTTTGCTTCTTTTTTTTCTCTCTTTGCTATCTCAGCACGGAATTTCATTTATATTTATATATTGACATTTTATCGATATTATTATTTTTCCTTTCCCTTGTGAAGCCTCAATTTGTTTGTGTGCCCTACACAGGATGCATTGGGAATGGTCCGAAGTTTCTCTACTCCTTATATTTTATTTTCAATTATTTATTTTTTTTTTTTCTTCTTCTAACTCCTTGTGTTTTACCCCGTTGCACCTGAAATGCAGGATACGTACGTCTAGAGAAGCAACAGGGAGCAAAAATAGTTGTATTTTTTCTTTTTTTTTTTTTCCCCTCCCCTCTAATTTTTGCGGATTGCCAGATATATATATATATAGAGAGAGAGAGAGAGGAGGAGGAAAAAAGAAGATACGAAATATATAAGCAATTGATAGGACGGTGCTGCCACAATGAAGTTTGGAAAACGGTTTCAGGAGGAGATGGTGGAGCAATGGCGGGAGTCGTACGTTAACTACAAGGCACTGAAGCAACTCATTTACCACTCGGAGTTGAGTGGCGTTGAATTTAGCCGTGATTTTTTTGCCATGGTCACAGAAGAGTTGGAGAAGGCAGAGGGATTGTTTCAGGACCTACTGGATGAGCTACAGCAAAGTCATGATGAGTTACTTGAGCAGGATCCGGACCTGCCCGTTATGAACCCAATACGTACTTTGCGCTTTTATCGGAAGCGTTTACACCGGGACACACGATCCACCAATGGGAGTGGGGATTCGGAGGTTTTTGATAGCTCCAGGGCCAGTTCCACGGTGGATCCCGAGCCGGGCAGAAGAGGATGCATTCCCTCTGTCGTCAAGAGCCTTTTCCTGCTGATCATCGGGGATTCCCATAAGCGGGCGTTTGACGAGCACGCCCCAAGGGCCAAGTTTGCGGAGTGGCATTCGAGTGCTCACAAACTGCAACACTTTGCGGAGTTAAACTTGGAGGCCGTACGTAAGGCGGCAAAGAAACTCAAGAAACATCGACGTCGTGAAGGGGATTTCACAATTGCCATTGAAGCCGAAATCAATCGCTCCCGTCTTGTGACGCTTATGCCTCGGCTGCGCTCTCTGATGGCGGATATAGACTCAGATTATGAACGCAAGTTTGGAGATTCACTGGATCAGTATAAAAATGTGGCAATGCAGCAGGCGTATCATGCGAAGTGGCAATTTGTGTTTCTTTCGGCTGCTTTGTTTTGTCTCCTAATGTTTTCTCCCATCTTATCGGAACACCCACCGGCACACAACTGTGTGGCTCT